AGGGTTTAGGGTTTAGGTGCTTACAGGGCTTTTGAATTTCAGATTCTAGGGCTGAAGGGCTCAAGGCCTGTGCGTTTCAGAATCTGATATTATTCCTACGGGTTCCTTTCACAATATAGTAAACCCCAAAAAGTTGGAAACCGGACTGAGGACAAATAGTGCTGGGATTCCCTATACATTACTCCTAAGGATTGAGGCTATTGGGCTTCCAACTTTTGGGCTTCTACTGTAGAAGATTGAAGCTCCCTTAAGAACCCCAAAACCCACTTTTTTGTAGGTTCTTATTATAAACACTAATATGGGATCTATAGGGACCCTACAAAAAAGTAGGTTTTGGGTTCTTAAGGTCGGCTGTTGCTTATGAGAAGTCGAAAGTGGTTTCAAAAGGGTCGTGGCAGAGGTAGACTGAGTAACTACTGTAGAATCCTATTATTGCTTAGGGTGCCTTTTTATAGCTATATTACAAAGATCGCGGCCCCTACATGGGTACGTAGTTTTCTACATTAGGGTACCAATTGGGGCCCTTTTTATAAGGGTGCCGTACTATATTGGGGACCCAAAAAGGGCCCTAATTTAGAGAACTACCCACATTCAGTATCGGCACACTCCTCACAACACACCCAATGGCAGACACCCTTGATTTTTGCTCCAGGTCTCTGCCTCACATCAGGCTGACTGCGCAGAGCAGACCGATGCATGCTCGCACTGGCAGAGCTGCTGGAACAGGAAGTGAACCTCAAAAAGTTCGGCGCTTCTTCTTCGGTGCAGATGTATCAGATGCCGTTGCATCATGGCCCAGAAATTTCTCGAGAGCAGGAGGCAGCTCCCCTTTTTCTGACATCTGCCGCAATGCTTTGCTGTTCTGGGCAAAGGCGGCACAAGCCCGCTCCAGGCCGAGCAACCCCTTCGAAGTGGCAGACGACGCGATGTCGACGAAGCTTGACTCGGTGATCATTCCTTGGCTTTGAAGTAACCAAGGAACAAGTATAGACTTTTATTTCATCATGGCTCCTTTAAGGAACAGGTCCACCCAAAAAAGTATTCAAGTATGGTACTCCATGCAGAACCCAGATTCCTTGTAGGATCTCCTCCAGTACGCGCACCACACTCGCTACCTGCCAGCGATGGGCCAGATCCAAAGCCTCAACTGCGCACTCATGGTGCGCCTCACTGCATGTCGAGCTGGTGTACACAAGGTCCAAGAAGAGCGACACACCGGCAGCGGAAGAGTCTTTGACCTGAATACGCTTGCTAGCACCTTCCGCCATGCAGGACGTCAGCATTGCCGAAAGTACAGGAGAGCACGCCATAAGAGCAACATCGTGTGCTGTCACGGGGCCATCGGCAGTGTCGAAAGTGACGTTGTGGGTGGCAGTCATGCCCTTGATGGCTTCCCAGCGGTCAATGACACCCTGGTCAACTTGAACTTTCGTCCTCTGCATGTGCGTGCGAGAAATGATGGACACGACTTCTGTGATGTAGGCAAGCAGCTCTGCTTTGCCTTCGGACTTGAGAGAGGCCTTACGAACTTTCAGGACATAAGAAAGGAGATTGTGTCCCTTCCGTTCTATAAACACCGTATCAGTCTGATCTCTTTCTTCTCTCCCCCGAATTGTTTTGTACAGTTTCAGTCTGCCCTCCGCCGACACTCGGTAATGGGGATCTGCTCCACAATTCATCATCCACTCGATCATCTTGAGGTATGTTGTCCTGACATCCATTGTGATTCTTCCTCTTGCACCTTCCTCAAATGCCACAAATAGGGGTGGCACTTGCACATCGTCCGGTTGGAACCACTTGAAGTTCGGCGGAAGAATCTTCCTTGTGTGGCCAGGTGTGCTACCACATCGAAACACATATTGGTTCATAAGCGATTGTGTTTCGACTGGTAAGCAAAGAAGAACGAGAATGACTATGGCAACAGTTTGATCTTCATGATAGGTACGAAAAGACCCAACCTGGCAATTAGTTGTGTCCATGGCACGTGTACGGCTTCTACAATACAGTTTCACCATCTATCAAACTGCCTGCTTGGCCGGTGGAAAGCATGTCGTAACAGAGAAGGGACGGCAGCAGCATTAAGGACTGTAGCGAGATCTTAAATAAAAGCGCTACAACATTGGAAGAACCATACGACACCGAAACATCTGCAGTTCAATTACACTGCGTAGGGGCAACTACAGGTAATCAGCAGGGTTCAGAGGGTGAGCAAGAATTAGCAGTAGTACCATCGGTACTCATCGAACAGCATGCTTGCACTGCCTGTAGTAATTAAGCAAAACCGGGCCAGTAGCCCTGATCGTGCTGCTGCCGTGGTAATGACTAACGGCTGTAATGAGTATGACAGCAATGGCCATGACAGTGCTGTGACTGTGGGTATTAGAAATAGTTGGTATTAGCTTATCAAGAACTATGAGGAAGATAACGATGTTGGCGATGTCGACGATGGCATTCAATATAATCACGAAGGTGTAGAACCGTCAAGTGTAGCTGTATTTGTCATGAGCCGTGAAGCTGATACAGTAGTGTTGATACTCTGACTTTAGTATGACACGGAACGGGAAAACATGCCTTGCTGCTCATCGCAATCAATATGGCCTGCTATGGCTCCTACAATGAGATCGAATCCTCAACCCTGAACCTAAACCCTTTTCCCAGAAGGCAAGGTCCGCTTGCAGTCTTCGGCGAGAATATTGGAATTAGCACTATAGTGTGATTTGTCAGGTAGTGAGAACGGCAATTATTCCGACTACTATGTTAAAACGACTGTTCCGACTTATTGATAACGTGGTCATGTAGTATGGTTGAGATGACTCCACTACGATCCTTGTTGCTAGTCCTTCTCACTATGGCTTTACTTTATCGATCGCCCGGCCGGCGCTTCTGGAATTGCTCGTGTGGTGAGGACTGCTTGCTGCGTTTACTGCCCGAAGACGGATTGCTACCTTTTTTTCTGTTGCTAATGTTGTCGCATCTACTGCTGGAAATGATTAGCGGTTGCATCTTTATTTATGCTCCCACCCTTAATGTGGTTCGCACAGCCAAGAAGACTAATATGCGTGCTCTCTAGCTCCGGACATGCTTGCTGTCACAACCTCGTTCAATACTGCTGCCAGCGCAGTTGAGATTCTGAAGCGCAGTTAAGTCTGCAATCCTCACCAAGCCCTCCACGATCTCACGGTGACGGTCCGCTACCACCCGGTCGTCCATGGCCAAGGATGGACAGGAAAGTGTATACGACAACTCCCGCACCCTTAGCGCGAAGCCCAAATCGAAAACCGTAACACTAAAATCCCCTCAGTGCCGACCTTAAGGACAAAAAGAGCCCTAAAAGGGTTTAGGGTTCATATACCATATAGGGATTCATAGTATAAGGGTATAGGGCCCCTACTTTTAGGGTTCTTTTCGTCCTTAAGGGAAGGAAGACTCTCGAGGAATCCGCCGCACTCCGGTTGGAGAAGGTTTAGGGTTTAGGGTTTAGGGGGGTTTGGGGGGGACTTAGTAAGCACGGTTTTATGTGTGGTTACAAGTGCCCTAAGTGGGGTCATTCAATTATGACTATAACCTCACTTATAATCTTACTTACTAAGTCCCATAAGCCTTCAATTTAAGTACCACAACCAAGTGCGCGGGACCCCATGACTTGAAAAGGCAGCAGTCATAAGGCAGCCGTGTTGTTGGAAGAGTGCAGGGCATCGTCTGGGGGGTTCGAGGTTGCACATTAGGATTATTCCCCCAATAAGTTAAGGGAAACTACAGGTGGGGAGTTTGGGATATATAGGGCTTCTAGAAGGCTTCTATAAGGTATATAGACCTTCTATAAGGCTCCTAAAACGGTAACTACCCACCTGAAAGTCCCAGAAAAGGGGTCCATGTACCTATTTAGTATGTACTTTGGACCTGAAGCACCTATGTAGGAAATCCTGTAAGGCCTAAGTATCTAGCATGCAGGTATATGGACCTTGCGGGTTAAGGAACCGAAAGCCTCCATCGACAACTTGCAAGCTACGTCGGAGATCTTCTGTAATGAGGGAATGCAGTACAGACCCGAAGGAGATGTAGGCCGTTGGATCCTTGTCTAACTGGAGTCTACCAGGACCCTAGAAAGCCGCACGTTTTCTGGCAAACCCCAAACCCTAAACCCTAAACCCCCGTTACGTTAGTTTCTTCAAACATCATCGTGACAGTGAAGCAGTGAAAAAGGCTCTCCAGAGAAGGCACTAAGGCCTATAGGGGTCAGGGTAAATGAATGTTGAAACACTCCCAAGTAAGACCTTGATATTCAGCCCAAACCCGCCCTACACTCTAAACCCTAAACCCTGAACCCTTAAACCCCAAACCCTTAAAAACCCTAAACTCCATACCCTAAACCCTGAACCCTGAACCCTTAAACCCCAAACCCTTGAAAACCCTAAACCCTAAACCCTGAACCCTTAAACCCCAAACCCTTGAAAACCCTAAACCC